GTTTCGTCCTGGCATGAGACTCATCAGCAGTGCGCACCCACGACTCTGCTACTCGCAAGATTCGAACTAAGGGCCTTCGATCTTGCGCGCGAACGCTTAACCTCCAGATCATTGAGCAGGCCCTGGGTTCGAACCCTGCGAGTAATGGGAGTCGTGCATGTGCACTGCTTTTAAGCCCCATACCATGAAGAAACGGCTGCCCAGTGCTTCAAAGTTTCCAATGATCTATTCATGCTTTTAAAGTAACTCAACAATCTCCACAACCGCATTACATTCATATTGACTAAAATTTTCGAAAGTCATCAATGGTTAGAGACCTTGAACGACATGGCTCAAGATTGTTTGCAATGGCGCAGGTGCATCCACTCTTAGAGCTCTCTCAAATCCTAATCTTCTGGATTAGCCAGCACCTCTACCTTTTTCTTTCTAAACTTATCTCGCTGAATTATACTTCTTGAATAATATCTTCAAACCCTAGTCTTCTTTATTAACATTAATACCTCTACTATCTTTATCACTATGCGATTTGATTTGACATTTTCGTCTCTGTGCTGTGGTATGGCAACATGAACTTATGTACATACGTACGAAGTTCTACGTTGCAACCGACGACGACTAAAATTATTGTCGAACATAAAACTATGTTACATAATACAATAACAATATATCTGTTCATTATGGTATGTGTATAATATAGATTATAGGAAATACAAAACCACTTACCAAATGGTGTAATCAATGGACATAAAATACTATATGCACAGATCACAGAGAACACGCATAAACTCCATGCATAAAACAATCCAAATTCAAATTCAAACTGACTAGCCTGTGTCGTCAAAAAGAGAAAGATGTGAAGAGAAAAGAACAAGAGAGCGAATCATTGGCATTGTTTAAAAAAACATAAATCAATGCCTGAATTATCAATTCAAGGTCAGTTATGCTAATCAACCTAATAAGACTTCACATTGTGGTGATATTACAATCTACATTAATAGTAGCTTATAAAACTTTTAAAGAAATTTCTGTTTGTTCAAGAATTTTTTGAGTTGGTGTTACTATTCATTCACACATATATAAAGGTAGGGTTTCAAAGCTAACAATTATGAGTTGATGTACACACGAGCAACGTTCGGAGAACACCTATGATCAAAAAAACCAGTTTACCTACGAATATCTTCTACTCTCACTGGCTATGTTTCACAGCCATAAGTAGACGGAGCGAACTACGTATGCACACAGTACACTCGTCCTTTAGTCCGGAAACGCATATCTCGCCTACGTCATAACTGACGCAGGTTGGCAAAAGCCAATCGAGCCTTCTGTATCCGAGATGAGATTTCGTCAGTCCCCAGGTTATCAGCACTGATCAGACTCCCCAGATACGTGAAGCGGTCAACACGCCCAACTACTTCACTTCCTATCACTAGTTCAGGTGCCGATGCATACCCAATAGGAGGATGATGACAGAGAGCTTAAAGGAAATGAATAGAAGGAAGAGAGTCGAACGAAATATATGAATGAGAGAAATAGTTCGGAAGGCTTGAGCGTGTCTTAGAAACAACTTTAATACATCAATGTAATCAGTGTTCCAATACAGATTCTAGTGGGATCTTATTTCTTCGTCACTCACTTATTGTTTCTATACTAAAAATTAATCATGAGGAAGAAAAACACCTCCTTTTTGTCTCCAAGTTTGAAACTTTCGAGAAACTTTTGGAAGAAAGATCAAATCATTATTTGATCAATTCAAATGTTCAATTATCACATGTGAAATATGAAACGGTAAAACAAACAAAATCTAAATGAATTAGAAACGTGAGAAAAAATATATATCTATGTAAGATTTAACATCACTGGAACAAACTTTAAGAAATCACACATCATCTAAGGTGTCACAACAAAAGCGATTACGATTACTAAACTAAAATATCACTGAAAAATAGGTTTGATGATCATATGAGTTTATAATAAATTACTTTTCTATCAGAGAGATGAAAATATGAACTTTCTGTTAATTCAATAATTATTTTATCGTTAGTTTCAGTTCAATTGATAAACAGGGCACAAATCAATGAAGTCAGTGATAGCTGGACTAAGGCATGTTAGTAGATGTAGGACTACTTGGTTGGGGTCCGGGAAAGGATAGTAATCGATGGTTAGAGACCTACATAGACTTGACTCAAAACCGTTTTGCGATGTGGTGCGGGTGCATCCGTTCTTTGCGTCCTCTCGAATCCTAATCTTTTGAACTCCTCATAACCTCTTCTCCTTTAAGTTGATTTTACAAGATTGTACTTCGCCAGTCATATTTTCGAACGCTAAACTCTCCGATTACTGTGAATACTCCCACTATCTCTACCACTGTGGAATTTGAGCTGATAGTTGCGTCTCTGTGCTAGTGCGGTAAGACAACCTGAACTTATGTACTTATGTACGAAGTTCTACATTGTAACTGACTAACCGACAATTGATAAACGGATGAAAGATTAAACTAAAATTCATAGTTTAATAAATAGTTATGACATTTCACTATGTGTGACATAAAAATCATCATGCTAATAAGTACTAACAACCGAATGTATAAAACAGAGTTCACAATAATTTGGAGGTGTATAGTGCCACTTATACACACACTGCGAAAAGCACCTCAACTAGCGTCATAAGACAAGCACTCACATGGAAGACACTCAATGTCAACTAAAAAGAGGAAGGCTAGGGAACATATTACGCCGAGAAATGGAGACAGACATGAGAAGAATGAAAAACATGGAAAGAACTAGAAAGAGAACCCAGGACAGAACTGGTTGGCGAAAACTTGTCGGCGGCCTATGCTGCATTTGGGGTAACAGGTGTAAGTTAGTAAGTAATAGTGTAGTGAACGAGAACACAGGTGGGGCAACCGGATTGTATTTAGCGAAAATTACAGAGTTACTCAGTAAAATAGGAAAACGATATCGTAAATCGTTAATTTGCAAAATATCAGTTCATCATATCGAATTGGACTGTTCCTGTTGCAAAACATCAATCCATTTTCACTATTCATGCGTTTCATACAAATTCCATTGTGTTCTAACTCTTCTTGCTTTCTTGATCTTTCCCCATCTTCTGCTGCCAGACATTACGTTGACCCTCACGTCATATACTACTTATAAGTAGCTCGCACCACAATAGTACCACTCCATAACTATCATGTTAGAAGTCAATACGTCAAGTTTTACCCAAATAATTAACAGGTGCTTGACTTATTAATGGATAGATTAACAAAATACACGTGTCCACATATGTAATCATTGAATCAAGGAGTATAGAAGATTCTGTGACCACTGAGTGATCGTCTAAGACAATGGAAGAAACAGTCAATCAAAATGGCTGTGAAGCAGTTTATTGGAAGAGAGTTGTGCAATATTGTGAATTGATTGAAACAGAAATCCCATGTACTAGATACCAACTTAGCTGTCTAAAGGTTAAGTGCTCGAAGCGATATATCTGAAAGATCATGGGTTCGATCTTTGACAAGCTGATGGACGCACACACCGTAGACAAATTTCACATCACGACGATACAGGTCACTAGCGCCTGCTTCTCTTCAATTATTTAATGTCAACAATTTAATGTCAATCCATGATGTGAAGTATCGTATGCTTTTAAAAGAGTTTAACTCAAAAATACCAGTAGGTAGGATGCATTTTCATAAAAAAAAAATTACCTATCAAATAACATGAATCAATCAATTACAAAACAATCAGTAGTAAGCAAGAAGAATTAATTACCTTTCGTACACCAACTTTTTCAGCTTGTGATTTTACACACATAAGACGACATGCATAATTAAATAATTCCGAAAATCGTACAAGTTCCAATGCTGTCCCAATAAATGCTGCAGTAATTACATAATTTACAAAGAATGCACCATTATCTGGCATAAAAACACATTCCCATTGAAATGATTGTGGTCCTATGGGAAGAAATGGACTTGGCTCTTCGTGAAATTCGGATTTATCGAGTGTATTGGAATCGTCATGATTATTAATACTACTTAGATTGTTATTAGTAATAGTTATAGTGGTGATAGTAGTAATAGTATTAGTAGTAGTCATAGCATCATTATTATTATTAATATTATTACCAATGTTTGAATTATTATTATAACTTGCTGGGACTAATGGTATGAGATGCATTTCCGGGAAAAGCCATTGAAGAAGAGCAGGTATTCTAGAAATAGATATATGTACATATTACTGTTATTAGTATGATTATTATTATTATTGGCTATATGAAATGTCACAAGAAATTGAAAAATTTTCGGCAACACAGGAGGAGAACGGACCACACAAATACAACGAGAACATCATATATGACAGGAGACAACTAGTGTAGTGAACGAGAACACAGGTGGGGCAACCGGATTGTATTTAACGAAAATTACAAAGTTACTCAGTAAAATCGGAAAACCATATCGTACATCGTTAATTTGCAAAATATCAGTTCATCATATCGAACTGGACTGTTCCTGTTGCAAAACATCAATCCATTGTCACTATTCATGCGTTTCATACAAATTCCATTGTGTTCTTCTAACTCTTCCTTTCTTGATCTTCCCCCATCTTCTGCTGCCAGACACGTCATATACTACTTATAAAAAGCTCGCACCACACTAGCAGTAAGCAATACTCTTCATGTGGCTATGTATTTACAGAACCTGTTAGCTTATCCTATTCAATGCCTACGAAAGCCCTGCACGTGCTGGTGTGTTAGGCATCTAAGGAGTGATTTCAGAATACACAGAATGTTACGAAAACCTAACATCAAAGAAAATCAACAAATTTGACATGTTCAGTAGACGACAGTGAGTGATAAAACCTTTCAAAGAAAAGACTGAAAGATCCATTTCTGTTGGGGATGTTAGATCCCCAAAACTCGCTTGGTAAATGTCTTATTTTGGATTTCACGTTTGCCAGCATGGGGTGATCAGTTCACATTTAGATTTCATTTCCCACCAGGAAAATCCTTGACTGTGATTGGCTGCTGTGTATATTAGAATATACTTTCTACGCTTACCAAGACTTCTGTTTTACAGTTTGGGATTCAAGGTAGCCTACCTGGACGCTAGTAATTGTCTCGTTCGCGTTTATCGACTAAGTTGAACTTGTAATAGATTCAAGCGTACCTAGTGACGAACATAACAAGTTCAAAGTTACTAGTATTTTTGGTAGTTCAATCACATTGAGTAATCTCTGCTGTACGAAGACTGAATCAGTAAATATTCTGATTAGCATGTTTTTTGAGCGAGTCGGTTTTCTAAGCGATTGGATCTACTTAATACTGAACTGATTTGAAATGATTAAGTTAAATCTTCTTAAGGATACCTTAAAATATACCAATAGGGAATCAAATCAGGCTACTTTGAAAATCTTTATCACTGATCTAATACTGATTAATGAGAGAGAGATAACATATTTGACTGGTCCTTCGGGTAATAATTGAATGCTTTGAATTGAGTTTTAAGGTAGGTGGATATAAGTTTCAGTAACTTGACACCATGTGCCCTAGGTTGACATGTTCAGTTGATTGGAGGTAGTCGATAGAATTTCCGCAAAGCGTAACATTGATTTTCTAGGAACTGGTGCTCCCTGATATATGATATCCCAAGTCATACAGCTTCATAGTGTGGGGCGTTACTAATGAGTTATTGGGGCAGTGATCGATCTAATTTAGGACTGAACGATATTCTTAACTGATCGATTGTTGAAAAGTCAACAGTGTCATGTCTGTATAATAATACTTCATAGTGCTCGTCTAATTCCGCTGAATTCTCAGTAAATCGAGATCGCGTACACTGTTTAAATGTTACTTCATATACTAAATATCTTGATTTTGTTTAGAAATTAATTATTACTAACTAATTACTAAACTAATTAATGATTTTTCTATGCACCAATATTGCAGTCAAGTAGCCTAATGGTCAGAGGAGCTTTTGGTTTTGAAGTTAAACTATGCTATAATATAATGATTAGAGATTAATTTGACTCTAACAGATGGATATGATCACCGAGTTAGTTGTATGTTGATGATCCGGTAATTGACAACACATGACAGACTACTTTTAAAACCAAAAATAAATTAGCACCTATCGGAAAAAAATACAATCCAAAGATACATTTTAGGAATCGCTTGCATTTGTTAATATCAATCAATAAACAATACTGAGGTAAGATGAGTTAATATATATGCTCAGGCGGTTGATATGTTCAGCAACCACCTACCTCAATGCAACACATTTGTTGATAATAGAGGGATGAAAGCTAGCAGAATTGTAATCAAAACATGATATCACTGTTCATGATGACTTTGACTGTCGTTTTAGTAAGGTTAGATTACCTAGTCAGTCTGCTGATAAACTAATTGCAAAGCGGTTGGATGAATAGGCTTACACAATCGATCCAAACGGATCAGATATACACACACACACTCTCTCCCTCTCTCAAATCATATTATTAGTATATGTGTGGGTGTGTGTGGTAGACGTTGCTCACTACTATATATATATATATATATATATATATATATATATATATATATATATATATATATTTATTTATTTATTTAAAATATCCATGTATTCATGATTTTAATACACTTTCATATGACTGTAGGAACTATTTCGTAAGTTGAAATACACTACACGTAAGCTTAACAGCATCATGAAACATTGAACAAAATAAAATACAATAATAACAACCACCACTTACGATGTTAGGCCAAGTGAAGGAAGAATTAAAATCATTAAAATTAGCAAAGTGTATGTTTTAATCATTACAGTTAAATGTAGTACAGGTTTAGTCCAGTGGCCAACAAGTCGATCAGAATTGAATACAATATATGGCAGTAAAGCAGATACTGACCATAGAATAATTGATGGAATAAATTGAATCAATAGCGGATTCTATGATGTGAGAAAATTAAAAGATTTAAAATAAAAAAAGGCGGAAATTGCTGGATCATAGATTTTGCAAGAAATAATCTCTATCAAAACGAAAGCTATGCAGATTGTTGTTTCACGTGAATCAATGATTGTTAGACCAACATTGGTAACCTCGAAATACTGGACGGTCATCTCGTTCGAGTACGAGACATCATCATCAGTGAGCATCGAAGACCCTCGTCTAACAATGATTGATTCACGATTCAAAGGTGAAATAACAATCCTCATAACTCTATGAAGAAAAATCATAAAATGTACTCACTAGTGACTAGATTTGGAAGGTAGTTCTCAGAGTTCTTGTGAAAAAGTGCGACCTTAACCCTGTCAGATATAGGTAATGACCGCCGAAGACAATGGACTAGATTGCAAAAAATCCTTAGATTAATCAAAGTTAAACATTAACATCGTTGAATGCCGGCTCAGTGGTCTAGAGTTTAAGCGTTAGTGCGGGAGGCCAAAGATTCTGGGGTCGTGGATGTGCACTGATGAGGAGTCCCATACCAGGACGAAACGGCCCCCCAGTGCTTACAGGTTTCTGATAGTGGCTTAACAATGATTAACTCATGATTTCAACGCAAAAAAAACAATAATGAGTTTTTATTAGTATCTGGGGTTTGTACATGAAGGGAAAAGTAAGATTCTCCGATACAACACAACATGTGCAAACAAAATCACTCTTGATGGACATGCCTTGGAGCACGTTAACACCTTTACATATCTAGGCAGCATAATTGATAAGCAAGGTGGATCCTAAGCAGACACCAAAGTCACAATTTTCAGTAAAAATATCAAAGCAGTTCTACTGTATGTGGAGGAAATTCGGTAAACTGCCAAAGCCATCATTCATATGATACAAGTATTTATTAACAGTGGTCTATGCAAAATACTTCGGATTCGTTGGCCAGACACTATCAACAACAACCTTCTGTGAGACGGAACGAATCAGATTCCAGTGGAGGAAGAAATCAGGAAGAAGTGCTAGAAGTGGTTGCGACACACCGTGTGGAAAGCTACCAACTGCGTTACAGGACAAGCCCTCACTCGGAAAACTCAAGGTCAAAGGAAGAGAGGAAAGCTAAGGAACACATTACGCCAAGCAATGGAGACAGGCATTAGGAGAATAAACCAAAGTTGGACGTAACTGGAAAGGAAGGCCCAGGACAGAGTAGGTTGGAGAATACTGGTCGGCGGCCTATGCTCCGTAAGCAGTAACAGGCGTAGGTAAGTAATCTGGGGGGTTTGCGGAGATGATTGGATTTGATAATTTACGTTACGAACTGACTTTAGTTAGACAACCATAGAAAACTAAGAAGTACTAGACAGTTACATTGTTCCGGTATGAGATCCTTCAACAATGAACATATACACGACTCAACTTGAAAGTCTGGGGTTAGAACCTAGGTGGAATCGTGGATGCGCACTCATGAACACCCTCATGCTAGAACAGAACAGAACTCTAATAAATGTCCATCGGAGTATAGTTCTGATGCAAACTTTTGAACAATATTGACATGATACAATGATGAGTAATTTGTAGCTTTTAAAGTGATGAGTAAATCTACCTTACGTAATATCGTACTTCATTTCATCTTATCAAGACTATTTTCATATTGTTTCCAATGAAACCAATTATTCTGTTAAGGAAAATGTCTACAGGTTTGAAAATTACGCATACATACAATGAAATCAGAGATAGACTGGAATCTCCATGTAAGATTTCTTTATGAAGGATCCAGGAAAGGAAATTCAGCTAGAAGCATTGACTAAGGTGAGAAAGTGACGAGAAAACTGATTTAAGTTGATTTTTAGCATTGATATCAGAGTAACGAAGCTGTCCAGGTAAAGGTGTATAGCATTTTGAAAAGCAGCTTCACAACTACACAATACTAAATGAACAGAGTTATCATCGTAGATACTTGTTAACTAGGAAGTGATTTGACTCTCTCTCCTCGCATTTCCGTAATACTTAGCCTTTTTGACTTAAAATGTGGTATTCACGTTGTTGTCACTTTTTTTGACCGATGTAGAATACAAAGTAGGAATTCAATGGATACCTTTTTTCAGTCAATACAGATAGACAGACAGATACAACACAGAACTTCGTACGTACGTACATCCGTTCAGGCTGCCATACAGATAGATTATATCATTAAGATAGTTGAGAGCGATCATTGAATTAAGGTAAAATTTATAGCTGGATCAAACAATTCAACGAATAATATCTTTAATTTTGAATAAGTAATTAAAATAACATATGACATGGTGTTCGGATGACCTCCAACAATCCTCCAGAGGCTCCCAAGAAGCCAAATAGCTTCCATCCAATCATATCTAAATAGAATGCCCACTATGTCGATGTGGCATCAGCTGATTGCATCATGACGTAACATGAAATAATCCTATATATGCTGTTTTAGCACGTCACGAGAAATTATAGATACACAAGTCTTATTTGCACATTTGGACCACTTACTGGATTAAAGATTTCTTTGGGCATTTTTTTCCGGTTGTGATCTCCGGAGGTGTTGGGGACGTTAGATCCCCAGACATCACTTGGAGAGGTCCTAATCTTGTTATTTTATTCTGAAATTCTGAATTTCCATGTTTGCGCGCCAGTCGACATTCAGATCATATTTCCCCCTTCGAAAAATGCTTGACTATCCTAGGTTGATGGATTATTTTAGAACGTTATTTCGCGGCTCTCATCAAAGGCGTTTCTATCATGTATGAGTAAACTCGACTTGTGTGCTTGTCAACCTCATATTTTCTGAGCGCTTGTTAGTTTAGCAGGGCCAGGATAGCCTATCGTGTCACTGTATTATTGTTTTCGCTCTCATATACCGAGTAAGGTAAACTTGTAATAGCATTCAAGCATATCAATGGACGAGCATATCAGGCAGGAGGGAATCCTACTAGTCCTAATGCCTTAAGGTCGTATTGTGCATGAGCGTTTCTAGTAGCAGATGTAATACATGAAAATTTATAAAATCAATAGTTCTGTCATATTACAAAATAATGCAACAAAGAGAATGGTGCATGAACAACATCAGAAGTGCAATTATATGTAATCGAATCATTTAAGAATCAATCAATATAACAAACACCAATAACTTACATTAATTTGTAAACGTTCAGTTAAATGTAGTGTATTGACTAAATTTAATACATAAGTAGGAGTAGTGAGAAAGAACACTACAACGAAAATGCATAAATTGATAGTGATTGCACGAAACCACCATACAATTCTAGGAGTTGCTAGATTGGCCCTGAAATATATATATGTGAAAAAGAGAAAATGTAATCATACTTATTATACAGGATTTGATGTTACAGTTGAATTTCACGAGATATGTCTTCTAACAAAAACAAAAGAACTCTTTGCTAAACTAATCTTTCTTATTCTTTATTTCACGGATTGACTTCGGTTAGACAACCAATGAAAATCAAGAGAAACTAACATATGCTTTATTTCTATGAACAGATCCCTTAGCAGTGGGTAGGGATGGCACATCAATTGATGAAGTAGTGAAACTTCATCAGTTGAGGTGGTTGGGACATGTGTTGGATACGCCTAATCACCGACTGCCTCGACGAGCTATGTTTTGTGGTGTAGGAGTAGGTTGGAAGAAAGCTAGGGGTGGCCAAACCAAAACATGGCACAAATCTATGAAGTCACTGACAACTAGACTGATCCATGTTGGTAGGTGCCGACTACCTTGTTGGGGCCCACGAGACAATAGTATTCGATGGTTAGAAATCCTGTATGACATGGCTCAAAACCGTTTGCAATGGCGCAGGCGCATCCACTCTTTGTGTTCTCTCTAATTCTAACTTTCTGAATTCCTCATAATCCCTATCTTTCTCCTTCTAAATTTATCTCACTGAATTATACTTCTTGAATCATATGTTCGCTCCCTAATCTTCTTCATTACTGCTTCTACTTCTACTATTGCTATCACTCTTGGATTTGAACTGACAGTTACGTGTCTGTGCTGATGTGGTATGGCAACTTGAACTGATGTACTTACGTACAAAGTTCTGAGTTGTATCTGTCTGTCTGTCTATCCCTTAGCAGTGTGTATCTACAAACTCGTCGCTAGTTAATCCTAGAATCATTTAGACAGATCTTAAATAGTTTTTTTTTCATTAAAAACAATGTAAACTAACTACTCGACTCTTTGACCTACACGTCTAATCAATAAGGTAGAGTAGCAACGTAAGGAAATACAGTCCCGTGGTAGCCGGTGACCAGCCATATGTATCTACACCATTCGTTCTGTCAGTAAGTATCATAGAGCTCATGTGCATCACTGGTTTGGAGTCAGGGTTTTTCCGACTTCCAGGTGGATCCTCCGTACCCACTCGCATGGTTTGGTCTTTCGCCGCACAATAGCTTTTCGTCCTCTCAATTTCATACATAACGGCTCCTCCATCATGGGCAGGCAGTGAGTAGGGGTTCCATGGAAGTGGCTGTAGACGTGTGGTCCTGTAAGATTATTTTGAGGAAGAGAGAAAGAGCAGACTCTCCCTACTCACAGAAGTTCTAGAGTATTTTTAGGTTTTAATTAGGATCGAGCGTTCATTTAACAGACTTATCATTGAAAGATAGCGAAATGCGGAAGGTAACCATTATCAAATCTTAGATACTCTTTTCATTAAAATCACTGTAAACTTAACTACAATCAAAGTAGACCCTCAGTCTAAAGGAGCTATACACTGGAATATGGTTCAGAAAGAAGGGCATGTATGAAATGTCATTAAAACTCAAGATAAAAGGTATAACGATGAATGATTACATCTCAGAATACTAGGATGGTTCATATGAAACTTGGAAGACTACAAAAGCCATCATTCAGAAGATATATGTATTCATTAACAGTTGTTTACGCAAAATACTTCGGGTTTCTTGTTCAGACATTACCACCAATAACCTGTGAGACAGAACAAACCAAATTCCAGCGGACGAAGAAATCAGGAAGAAACGCTGGAAGTGGATAAGACACACATTGAGGAAAGCACTCAAATGCGCCGCAAAACAAGTCCTCACTTGGAACCCTCATATCCAACGAAAAAGAGGAAGGCCAGTGAACATATTATGCCGAGAAATGGAGATATATATGAGAAGAATGAACATAAACTGAACAGAGCTGGAAAGGAACGTGCAAGACAGAGAATACTGGTCGGCAATCTATGCTCCGTTTGGTGGTAACAGGCCTTAGTAAGGTTAGTACGTAAGTACATGCTAAAACAATGTGCTCAAAATAAATTAAAATCTACTTTAAGTGGAATAAATTCAAATTAAAAGTCAGAAGTCAAACAATAGTAAAATAATTTACTAAAATGACACACACATAACTTACCAAATAATATTACTTGGAACAGGTGCAAAATCCACCGACCATAGATGACTTTTCAATAATGAATCATGACTAGACGTCATACATGTGATTAAACGTCGACAAATATTGCGATATTTCTTACATACACTAAAATATTTCAAGAGAGCAAAATCAATAAACATACGAGTCGATTCAATAAATACACTAACTTTGAGACAGTAGCTTTGTTACTGATCTAAGAGCATTGGCCTCTCAAAGTAGTTTACAGTGATTTTTGATTCCCAAATGAACTGAAATTAATAAAAGCTTACCCGCATGATTTTAACAAGATAATTAAAGTTGATAAGATGATGTGTAATCATTCGCTGAAGATTGGTAATATATACAGATTTTATTGAAATGGTAACCACTAGTAGTGAGCCACGGTTTCCGGCCAGCTTCTTTATTGTTTCGTACAATTGTCTCAAGTTTCCTTCTCTTGCAGCCTTTTCCGCCGTCATTGCTAGATCTTCCACATATTTTCGTTTGTCAGCTCTGATGCTCTTCTTCACTTCCCTGTTTGCTTCTGTGTATGCAGCTTGTGCCTTAACTTTCTCTGCTCTTGTTCGGCTGATGTGGATTGCTGCCTTCTTGTTACTCCTTTCTTCAATTTTTGCAAGAGTATCAACAGAGATCCATTCCTTGTGATGATACTTCTTGTGACCCAGAACTTCGTGACATGTTGAAGTGATTGCCTCCTTAATCCCTTTCCAATCGTTCTCCAATGTTGCGTCCTCTCCATTGAATAGATCCTGAAGGGCCTGGAACCTATTGGTGAGGGCTATCTTGAATTCGTTGAGTTTTACGGTATCCCACATTAGCACAGAGATATAATTGTCAATTCAAATCCCATAGTAGTAGAGATAGTAGAATAGCTATCAATCATATTTCAGAGAATAAGAATAGAGATGGAATAAATTTATTGCCATCAATGAGTATTTTGAGGCATACAAAATAGATATAAAGTAATTTCTTTTTTAAATAAAATTTCAATGACCTCAGTTTACGTAATTATTTCAACAACTACGTCTACACACACACACAACACAAGTAATTGTTGTGACCCGTGGTGAAAACAAAAAACCAATCATAGTTCAATATTTCCCATGTTATTAAAACAAAACAAAAAAAATCAGTACTTAGTTCTAACCAAATTCTTGATCACCTGAATGAAGTAGGTTTGTTGACCTGATAAACAAAATTTTGAAAAGAAATCAGTATATTGATTATTTATTCAGGTTAGGCACGAAAGACATGCCTAATTTCACGTAATACTAATTAGCTTTCATTTTAAATTCGTAACCCTGGGAGAGAGACAGATACAACGCAGAACATAGTACGTAGGTAAATCAGTTCAGGTTGCCATACCACATCAGCACAGGCAGGCAACTGTCAATTCAAATCCAAGAGTGATAGCGATAGTAGAATTATTAGCTGTAATCGAGAAGATTAGGGAGCGAAGAGTTGATTCGAGAAGTATAATTCAGTGAGATAAGGTTAGAAAGACAAAGGTAGAGGTGTTGAGGAATGCAGAAGATTAGGATTTGGGAGAAAACAAAGAGTGGGTGCACATGCGCCATTGTAAAAGATTTTGAGCCATGTCGTTCAAGGTCTCTAACCATCGATGACTTCCGTCTCGCGGACACCAACCAGGTAGTCGACACCTACCAACACGACTCAGTCCACTTGTCAGTGACTTCATGGATTTATGCCATGTTTTGGTTTGACCTCCCCTAACTTTCTTCCAACTTACTCCTTCACCACAAAACATGGCTCGTCGAGGCAGTCGGTGGTTGGTTGCGCATAAGTAACACATGTCCCAACCACCTCAACTGATGAAGTTTCAACACTTCATCTATTGATTTGCCATCCCTACATAGAATTCGTTTCCTAACGACAGCACTGCTTATACGGTTGTCCCAGGATACATGAGCAATGCTTCGGAGACACCAATGATTCAAGACTAGTAACCTATGAAAGTCCTCTACTCTTAACGGCCATGTTTCGCATCCATATAGCAGAACGGAGCGAACTGCTGCACAGTACACTCGTCCTTTGGTTAGCAAACGGATATCTCGCCTGCGCCATAGTTGACGCAGGTTGGAGAAAGTTAATCGAGCCTTCTGTATCAGAGCTGAGATTTCGTCAGTCACCAGGCCATCAGCACTGATGAGACTCCCGAGATACGTGACGTAACTCTGGGTCATGAATAGTGCATCAATTCTATACTATCCGAACTTATTTATATACTGTTTTCGTTGAACGAAATGACGACAGATTAATAATCAGCGGATTTACACATATCCCAGAGGTATCGCAGATGAAAGAGATTCACGACCTCATCAGTCAGTATATTATCTTTACCTAATACACTAACCTAACTAGAGTGCTATTTATTCGGTTGTTTTAAGATACACAAGCAAGCTTCAAAGACACTTGTTGCTTAAACAACAAGAGCCTACGCATGGCATCTATTTTAAAATGTCATAATTCATTACCCCCTACCAGTGAATCTTCATCGTTGTGCAGTACACCAATTCTTTAGTCAGTTGACGAATATCTCTCGCTTAAGAAACTATTGAAAAACATCAATCGACGTTGCTGAATCCATTTTGAAATTTCGTATGGCACCAACACATCATGTATGATGACCCCAGCGACGGTATTTACTTCCATGCTCCCCCCCCATTATAAATCTAAACGTCAAAGGAGATCAATCTTAAAGCAACATATGACATTTACAGAAAGGAGATACATCTCAAATGACCATATACCGTTTACTAATCAATACATTCATAAAACTTTGTATGTTTTGAGCATCAGTTGAACAGTTACTCAACGTTTTTTCCACTTATAGTTTCAATAACTAAACTGATTAATGTAAGCAAAACATTCTTCCATGTAATAACATAGTAAGTACGCAAAGAGAATTTTTACAAGCTTAGCAGTTAAGTCAATCAGCAACCAATAAATAAAAATCATGAGGAAATATATATGAATCAAAAATCAAAGTCAACAACAGAGACAAACACTACAAACAGGTTAACCCGTCAGCAATAACAACTCAACATCAAGGTCAGTAGGAAAACTTGTTAGTTAAAATATATTGAGAAATTCAACCATATTACTCCAACTTTTCTTCCGGCTTTTTTAGGTTTTGAAGAACAACAAAAGGTTCGCAGTTAAACTATCTTCATACATAGTTAAAATGCTTCGACGTAAAACTACGTACGTGGACGCATATCAGTTCGGGTTGCCATAACACATTAGCACACAAAGATCGAATTACCAGATTGTTACGAGTTTACCTTGATCGGAAAACGAGAGCGAGGATCGAGGATCCGGCGACTAGACATGCTAATCTAATCCGAGTGTCCCAACCCCAATATTGAATAAAAGAAGACAAGACTTGATATGAAGTAGAACCTGTATTCTACAAGCATCCAGAAAGTACGAGGTCTGAGTCCAGAAGAGAATTAAGATCCCTGACTAGCGATCCGGGTCATAAAAGGTTACAGACAATGCGTATTTATACAGTAAGGTCGAATAGGACATAACATTACAGTCTGTGACATTGACAGTTAGGATGACCAGTGGGAAACAACATTGAAGTACGTGACATTGATAACTAGGACGACCATAACATTGACCAGAGGAAAATCGACCAATAGAATTACACTTTCAAAAATAATCCTCTTAGGGCATTTGATGAACATCCTAACACAAATCAAATCCCATAGTGGAGAGATAGAAGTATCAGAGGTAATATGGAAGATTAAGGTTCGAAAATATGATTCAAGAAGTATAATTCAGTGAAATAAATTGATAAAGAGAAAGGTAAAGGTGGTGAGGAATTCAGAAGATTAGGATTTGAATGAACACAAAGAATGGATGCACCTGTACCATTGTGTTGGGGACGTTAGATCCCCTAGAACTCACTTGATAAAGGTCCTAATTTTGGATTTTATGCTTTCGTGCATAGGCTGGATCAGTTGACCTTGAGACTACATTCCCCATCCGGCAAATTCCTTGACTGTTATTGGCTGATGTAGTATTTCAGGACGTTATTTTTGTGGCTCCCCCAAGGACGTTTCTATCACGTACAAATAAACTCGATTTGTTTGCTTAAACAACCTCATATTTTCTACGTGCTTGTAGAATACACTTTCTACGCCATATCAAGACTTCTTTCTCAACTTAGTGGGCCTTGAGACGCTCGGATTAGAGTAGCCTATCGTGTCACTGTATCATTTATCTTCGCCCTCATTTACCGACTAAGGTGGACTTGTAATAGTTTCAAGCATATCAACTGACAAGCATAACACATTGCAAACGGTTTTGGATCCATATCATTCAAGGTCTGTCTTGCGGACTCCAAATAGGTAGTCTGCAGTTATCAACATGACTGAAGTCCAGTAGTTATCAATGACTTCATAGATTTGTGTCATGTAAAGAGAAAAAAATTCTCCGATGCAACACATGCACCAACCAAATCACTCTTGATGGAGATGTCTTGGATGAACATTATTATTATTATTATTATTATTATTATTAACACCTTTACATATCTGGGTAGCATAATCGACAACCAAGGTGGATCCAATACAGATGTGAGGGCGCAGATTGGCAAAGCAGGGGGTTTATTTCTGCAGTTGAAAAATATTTGGAACTCCAAACAACAACCAACCAAAATTAGGATTTTCAATACAAATGTCAAGACAGCTCTACTGTATGGAGCGGAAACATGGAGAACCACCGAAGCCATCATCTAGAAGATACAAGTGTTTATGAACAGTTGTAAACGCAAAATACTTCGGATTCGTTGGCCAGACACTATCAGCAACAACCACCTACTGTGGGAGATAACAAACCAGATTCCAGTGGAGGAGGAAATCAGGAAGAAGCAGTGGAAGTGGATAGGACACACATTACGAAAAGCACCTAACTGAGTCACGAGACAAGCCCTCACCTGGAACCCTCAAGGCAAAAGGAAAAGAGGAAGGCCAAAGAATACATTACGCCGAGAAATAGAGAAAGATATGAGAGGAATGAACAAACATTGGACAGAATTGGAAAGGGAAGCCCATGACAGAGTTGGTTGGAGAAAACTGGTCGGCGGCCTATGCTCCATTGGGGTTAACAGGCGTAAGTAAGTAAGTAAAGAGAAAAAACCAAAACAACTAAACACATTCAAAATATGCACTTACTATGCAGCAGCATATTTTGTTGAAAATGTTACAAATGCAATACCAATTGGTGTTTTAATAGTAGTATCATATTGTTTTTCAATTTTTTCTTGTACATATAATTTTCTATTTGTATAATAATTAATTGCATCAACCGGTGGTGGACATGTACAACAACAAAGACAGGGTGTACATTTTTTTTTATAATGATAAAATTGAGGTGATGGTGTGGACGATGTTGGGGATGTTGGCGATGTTGGCGACGGTGATGATGATGAGCATTGATTATGATTATCAATGGTAGAACATGGTATAGTAACATGAAGATTGTTACTATTATTATTACCAATATTAATATTGTTAATATTATTATTATTATTACTGTCTTTGTAATCAGTGGAAATATAATCATGATTAGTACGCCAACAACATTGACGACAACAATTCATTTCATAACATTTTTTATACATCCAACCACAACAACATGGTATGATAAATGGACGTTTACCTTTACGTTCATAACTTTCTTTAGAATAATGTAATGCAGCTTTGATAGTATCTCTGAAGGGAAATAAAATAAAAAAATAAATAAATAAATAAATATTGAAATACAAAAAATTCAATTCTTGCATTATAGTTACTTACTTACTTACTTAAGCCTGTTACCCCCAATGGAGCATAGGCCACTCACCAGTTTTCTCCAACCAACTCTGTCCTGGACTTCCATCTCCAGTTCTGTCCAATGTTTGTTCATTCCTCTCATATCTTTCTCCATTCCTCGGCGTAATGTGTTGTTCCTTGACCTTACTCTATTCCTTTTGCCTTGAGGGTTCCATGTGAGGGCTTGTCTTGCATTATAGTAGTAGTAATAATAATAATAATAATAATAATAATATACATGATGAGTGATTTTGTCAAGAGATTGAAAGTAACCGGATAGTCAGAGAGAGAGAGACCTTGAACGACATAGCTCAGATTCGTTTGCAATAGCGCAGGTGCATTCACTCTTTGTGTTTGCCCCAATTCTATTCTAATCTTAATTCCTCGTCAGTTCTATCTTTCTCTTTCTAAAGTCAACTCACTGAATTATACTTTTGGAATCATATCTTCGCTCCCTAATCTTCTTCATTACTGCTAATAAATACTTCTACTATCGCTATCACTCTTGGATTTGAACTGACAGTTGTGTCTCACTGCTGATGTAGTATGGCAACCTGAACTGAGTGTACTTATGTACGAAGTTCTGCGTTGTATCTGTCTGTCTATCTATCTATCATCATCTTCATATGCCAATGTCTGCATTTATGTTAAATTGAGCTCAAATGTGTATATATTGCAGAAAAATACTTTATAGATTTTATAGTTAACAGTAACTTTGTAATCAGTCATCGAACAGGAAATATCTTAGGCAATAATGTTTTAGTATAAAGTTGCACTAGTTCAATACTAATAATAATCATCATCATCATCAACAGCAACGTAGAACTTTGCATGTAATCTTCTCCATTACCGCTGATACTTCTACTACCTCTACTACTGTAAGATTTGAATTGATAATTGCATTTGTCTGTTCTACCGTGGTATAGCAACTTCAACTGCTATACACATGTACCATGTGGCTGATTGACTGATTTTTGAACAAAGTATATGGTGAAATGTATGATAATAAGTCAGTTAGGGAAAAAAGAAAGCCTAGAAGCAACTAAATCCACCGATGTAGGTCAAAGTTTCACGATGCATCAATCTGATTGTTGGAAATTAAGCCAAGTTGATAGGTGTAGTCTACTAACAAAGAATTTTATTGATATCACGAAATGTTCAAGGTTAAACAGTTATTAAAAACCTGAAATCAATAGGTGGTCGTTTTGTTGCAGTATAGGATTCCGAAGAAGTGTGTATTCAATACTCCACAATCGTGAGTTCAACCCAGGACCTTCGATTTCATTTGCAAACACTTAACCTATAGACCATTGAACCGGCATTCAATTGTTTATAAGTTTAATCAAACCACGATATTGCATGATCATTCTCTATTGTCTTTGGTTGTACTGAATCAGTGTCACTAGAAAATTTTTATGACATGAAAATTACAGTTTCTACTCAAATCATATTGTTAATACTTATTATTTTCTATCGTAACTGAAACTGGTGCTGCTCATAACTAGTGTGTGTGTGTGTGTGACCGTAGCTGCTACCTTGACATGGTGGTCGGGCTTGCCTATCGTGATGATCCAACCGAGCTATACTGGCTGGAACATATGTTCCTGAAGGTTCTACCGTGCCAGGCTGGTCGATTGGAGAACGATGAGACTAAAAGCAGCTACTCAACGTCTGAGGGCGAAGTTGTACTGCTGACTGCAGAGGGGTGTGACAGCAGTAAGGTGTTTCCCTCGGACAACCAGCATCTGCAGCGATGCTGCCTTCTCACAAGGAAGGAAGGGTTAGAAAAGGTCGACCCTAAAAATGTCATACCTCACCCTACCTCACGGATTTCCGTCTTGTTGGGTAAGGGTGCCCACTAAAGGCCTTTAAGAACGGATCTAATCCTCAAACTACCTTTCATAAAAAGGCCGTGCGTGAACGGGCTCAGGCAGTTGTCCCTTGGACTCTGTGGTCACGCTCCCAGGTCTCCAAGACCAACACTAATCTATCTTCCTTTTCAGGTCCCTCAAGAAACAACCTTCCACGGTGTGGGCAGCCGGGAAGTGACAACCGCCTTCATACCCGTAACAGCACGCGAGACCAAATTGGTCAAAACCAAGTCCTTCCTACACCCCCTAGTATCTCTCTTATCTCATTAAATCATACTTCTTGAATAATATCTTCTAATCCTAACCTCTCCGATTACTCCTAATACCTTTACTACCTCTTCTACTATGGGATTTGAATTGACAATTACATCTCTGTGCTGATGTGGTATGGCATCATGAACTGATGTACTTACGTACGAAGTTCTACGTTGCATGTGACTGGCAATTGTTTTGACAGTATCATCTCATTGTATAGCATTAAACACGTATGATAGAATAATGTGAAATGAGATACACACATGTATCACGTTCTACTACATTCCTTATAACTAACTGATTGACTTTAAATGAAAGTTAAAAAAATTATTCATTTAAAAAGAGAAAAATCAATTATTAATTCAGTAAGCTACAATCGCATAACTGAATTTATGCTTAATATAGTCAGTCAGTCAGTCAGTTGCAACGTAGAACTTCGTACGTAAGTACATCAGTTCATGTCACCATACCACATCAGCACAGAGATGTAATTGTCAATTCAAATCCAATAGTAGAAGAGGTAGTAAAGGTATTAGCAGTAGTCGGAGAGGTTAGGATTAGAAGATATTATTCAGGAAGTATGATTAAATGAGAACAGTTTAGAAAGTAAAAACTAGAGGTGTTGAAGAATCCAGAAGATTAGGATTTGAGACAACACAAAGAATAAATGCACCGGCGCCATTGCGAACGATTTTGAGCCATGTCATTCAGGGTCTCTAACCATCGATTATTATTATCGTCTCGCGGACCCCAACCAGGTAGTCGACAATTACCGACATGGCTAAGTCGACTCGTCAATGACTTCATGGATTTCTGCCATGTTTTGGTTTGGCCGCCCCTAACTTTCTTCCAACCTATTCATACACTACAAATATATATATTGTTTCGTGAGGAAACTTCATTTTTACTTTATTTTCTCTACAGATCAACAACAAACAACCTACTGTAGGAGAGAGAAAAAACCAGATTCCTTCCTGCCGAGCAAGAATTTAGGATAGGACACACATACATTGAGGGAAGCATCCAACTGAGTCACAAGGCAAGCCCTAACATGGAATCTTCCAGGCCAAAGGAAGGCATGAAGATTAAAAAACACATTAAGACGAGAATTGGAAGCAGACATAAAAACAATGGAAAGCGGTTAGGTAGAACTGGTAGGGAAGGTCGAAGACCAAGCCTAGTAAAATATACTAGTGGGAAAGTAGCAGACTGGGGTAAAGTAACACAACATACATTCTACATTTCAATTTCTTTTAGCTCATCTTGTGTTCTCCTTCAATTACTAATCTTATGTCTTAGACACCTGCGTTCATAATGGTTACAATTACTTTCAATCAATTAACTTCTCACTTGTTTTATTAAAGAAGTTCTTATTTCCGGCATTGTAGGAATGCATGTAACGTGTGACAAGTTGAACTGACATCATTATGTAGTATACAAAGTTTGAAAACATGACGTGGAAGTGCATGTAGGAAGGAAATACTGGAACTCAAGATTCAAAGAAATATAACCAAACACTTTAATCTAAGGTATGTGGTGTGCCAGAAATAAAGCTGCTGCGCGAAAATTTCATATATTTATCTTTTAACTAACTAAATAATCTAAGTGGAATGATTCAAAGTCAATTGTAAGCCGTACGGGGTTGTGAAGATTGTTAAGTTACACATTTTTTGAAACCATGAATCGATCAATGTTAGACCAACATTAGGAACCTGGAAGCACTGAAAGACGGCCGTTTCGTCCTGGTATGGGACTCATCGGCAGTGCGCATCCACGACTCATGCACCCCGCAGGATTCGAAACCCAGGACATTCGGTATTGTGCGCGAACGCCCTAACCGTTAGACCACTGAGCCGGTACCTAACGGTGTTAAAGTCTAACTTGATCAAATTCACGGAGTTGCGCAACCTCATACACAGTCTTCGGTAGACACTGCCTACACCCGAACAGGTTGAACTTGACCAAACGGCCGTCCAGTGCTTCCAGGTTTCTAATGGTGGTCTAACATTGATCGATTCATGGTTTCATAAAAAATTAATTATCTGTTCATCTATTGTGACTCTCTCTATATATATATATTTGAAGGTTTTAAAGTGATAGATCTTGTTGCAGTTCTTTTTTTGCACATTCTTCATCAACATGAAGAAATACACTTCTTTAACTAGGCGAAATCTTTCTTGCATAAAAATCTTTTGTCTGAAGTGTATTGCTAATTAGATACCACTATAGTTCAGTTCTCCTCATTTAATATACTTTCATCAGGTCTTTCACTTCTACACAATGTTGTCTTTCTTTATTTGTGTGGAGGATACATTAGTTCGATGCCAAGTTGTACTGAAATGTATGTATATTGACCAAAATACATGAAACAGGCTACAACATCATGGCATTTATTTCTTGACTAAAGACTTCAAAAACTACTTCAATAGAATTGCATATCCTAACAGATAGCTAAGCGAAATATAATTACTTCAATGAATATTGGTCGAAATTCCGATCGATTGATATTCTTCCACTGAAATATTGTACCTAAAAGAGGCTTTGCTCCAAGAAAGATCATTACAATAAAGAAGATTTTGTTTGAACATCTGAGAAACAGTGGGATACAGAGTACACATGTGGAGTTAACAAGTAATTCCAACAAGTAGTTAGATTCGTGGCTACTGCCAGTCCCGAGCACGGATAAAGGAGGAGTGTTGAGCATGGGACTAGCAACCCCATCCCGTAGAAAACTAACTCACTGAAAAAGCGCTAACAAGAGAAATTAGTTCAAACCACTGAAACTCCGCCCTGGGAGTTGGACGGTCTACATTCAGAAGAGTCATGACGTCTCATAATAAAAGCCGACTTTCCTCGGAAGCCACCAGGCCGATGTCCCTCCTCACAACCGGAGCAATCATTCTTTTAGATACATGGAATGTTCAAACAGTATGGCAAACCGGAAGACTATTCCAAATTGCTACATAAATGAAAAGATACAACCTGAAGGTGCTTGCAATCAGTGAAACACATTGTAAGCATGTTGGACACCAAAGACTAGCTTCAAAACAGCTACTGTAATACTCCGTCCATGAAAGAGAAAATGCCCCCCCCCCCACACACACAAGGAGTTCCCTAGAGGGTAACAGGCACAAGTAAGTAAGTTTAAGGATAAGAAGTATTCACATTTGAAATTCAACCACTAGAATAGTGTGCATGTTCGACTCTACTACCTTCATTAACTTCAGTCTAAACAACTACATAATATGACTAGCCTCTCTACAACCCCCAAATTATGACTCAAAGCTGAATAGAGTAAACCTATCATCTATCGATTGATATTTGCAACATTTTACATATACATATGCATTGATTAATTAATTTTATTACGAATAGCCTAATTTGCTGATTGTTTGTTGTTCTACTGATTCATCGGTTTAATTCTTTTGTTTAAATACGATAAAAAAAAGCAGAAAGAATTAATTTTATGAAAAGAATGTAACAAAATCCTTATGCCAGAAAAGAGAACAGTTAATAGATAAATGTCAAAAAGTATTTATTTATATCTAGGTAATTAACATGTAGATAGATAGATAGATAGATAGATAGATAGAAAACAGAAAATTCTAACTATTCAAATATTTAGCAAACAAAAAAAACGAGTGCTCAAGTTCCCAGGTACCATAATGATACAATCATTCACAGCTTGTAACTACTAGTAAGCACATACAGAGACATAGACTGATTGGTAAACTGATGTGCATGCCACTATGCAACACATAATACACATACACATGTAGATGATATTGATGAGTAATCGAAGTGAAGCGCCAGTTAGATTGAGACCTACATCAGTAGGTATCACTGATTGACTAGGTAGTGGTGTGTGATTCACTAGTTGGTTGGTTGGTAAACAACACTAATTGATGGCAGTAAATTTTATAACTAGAGTAAATCAATCGTAATGATGATGAACATTTGAAGGGTTGTGCAACATTCTCATTGTTGATTGCATGTGTTAATCATCTACATATATATAACTAAAATGATCAGTTGGTTGGTTCTAAGAGTACTGATGTTTACGCTTTCCTAGGTTCCATGTTATCGATCTCCGCTCTCTTTCTCTCTCTCTCTCTCAAGATTGTCAAACGTGAAGGTTAAAAGATTTATTAAGAGGTATAGGATAAATTTGCGTGCGATCGATTTGGTTTGAGAGCGGATGTCACTTCTTAGCTGCCCACACAATGAAAAGGTGTTTCTTGAGGAACCTGAAAGGGAAATGGCATTAGAGTTGGTCTTACCGGCTTGGGAGTGTGACCGCAGAGCTCGAGGGACAACTAGTTGAGACCTATCACGTACGACCTTTTTATAGGTAATTAACGTGTCTGCTCAGCTTTTCCTCTTGATTTTGAGAACGAGGCATTGCTGCTATCACACTCTTTTATAGTCAGCAGTATGACTTCACCTTCAGACCCCAGGTTGCTGCTTCTAGTCTTATCATTTTCCAATCGACCTGACTGGCATAATAGGACTGAAAGGAATATGTGTTCCAGACAATATAGCTCGGTTGGATCATTACGACACGAATGCCCGACCGCCACGTCAAGGTAGCAGCTACAGTCAGGTCTCAAGGATGCAGTAATATGTAATAACATGGATCTATGGTCTAAGAAATAACTCCTGTAAACTCATTAACTAGACAAAGAATGGTCGATTATGATAACATATAAAAATGGGACGTTAGTAGATAAATTTGGTGAATTGACTTGAATATAGGAATACTACATATGCATCATCGTGCATACATAGTTTGATCAGGACAGATGAAGAAAGCGTTACATTTTTTTACATATTATTCAACTCATTTACCATATACAGATTTGTGCACTTGACTTTCAGTTATACTTAAGGTGTAACGACTAGTGATACTATCTAGGAGCTCAAACCGAAGTAAGCGAAACGTCGTTTGAACTTGTAATGTAGTAGTAGCAGAAAATCGAACGTCTGAACCACTGAGTCACTCTATTTCACAAACATATTCAACTCAAACTAACATACTAACAAAGAATGACATACATAAACATATATATATATATATTCTCTGGTGGGCGGCCTATGCTCCATTGGGGGTAACAGGCGTAAGTAAGTAAGTAATATATATATTCTAGGGAGAAATAGAACGTACCTCTGATTTTCAAGTTTAATTAATTTCCGGGTATCATAACAAATTTGTACATCTTCAACATGACATTCTGGATAAAATTCTCTGTGTTGTAGATAGAAAGAGAATTAATTGGAAAAAAAAGCGATTAGAAAACAGAATTTTAATTTTACATGTAAAAATTACAAAATCACCATATATCGATCGATCGATCAATGGCGGACAAATAAATTGCCTTGTTTCAATTGATGATAATATCTTGTTGCTTTTTCGAAAGGAAATCAAAGCAAGTAATCCAATCGTTGTGAAAAAAAACAATTAGCAATAAATAATAATATATTTACGAAAATTATAGTTTTCCTTATTATGTTCTTAGTAAATACATGAATCAATTAAAAACCCAGATACATTTTTCTATTCTCCATAATTTTCATTTTACGGATCTCAGTTAAACAAACGAATCGAAACAACATGCGTAAAGTATAGCTATTTGATGCTTGAGGGTCATGTTTTGCTATTATAGAGTGGTACCAATGTGTTCTTAACTCCTTGTCCTAATTAATCACCAATATCAAGCTCCCTATAGTTTGTTATTGGGGACTTTAGATCCCCTAGAACTCACTTGATAAAGGTCCTAATTTTGGATTTTATGTTTTAGTGCATGGGCTGATCAGTTGACCTTGAGACTGCATCCCACACTTGGCAAATTCCTTGACTGTTATAGGTTGATGTATTATTATTTTAGTACGCTATTTTTTGTGGCTCTCTCTTAAGGACAATCCTATGATGTAAAGATAAACTCGATTTGTGTGCTTGTCAACTTCATATTTTCTGGGTGCTTGTAGAATACACTTTCTACGTCTTATCAAGACATCTTCCTCTACTTAATAGGGCCTTGGGACGCTCAGATTAGAGTAGTATATCGCGTCACTGGATCATTTTTCTTCGCTCTCGTTTACCGGACTAAGGTGACCTCGTAATAGTTTCAAGCATATCAATTGACGAACATAACATTTGTCTTCTCTCTGTGTAAGCTACCGAGTGTTAATGTTGTTATCTGCGCATTGCTGTTACCAATTTCGAAGAGGACCGATCGAATTAGAGTAGCTCATTAGTTGGCATCAAGATACGTAAGTATCACAGACCAGAAACTGAACGAAGGCAGAACTGCATTTAATTCCTATTCCCATGGAATAGGGATCTCATATTTAGTGAATCGACTGACACTAAGATACATAAATATGCTGTGACAATCACATAAAGAGTGTTTGTTACTTACGCAAAATGATTTAAAATCAATCTTTTTGAACAATTTGTACGTGGTATACCAGAAATCATTAGTGTTTTCTCTGACTATGGAAATGAAAAGAAAAAAAACTGTCATTAATTGAATAAGGTTTTTTTAAGTGACAGAAAGTTATGGATTTTACTAAACAGATAGAAAAAACAAACTCAACACTGTTATTGGGATTAAGGAATGATTCTGATCAAAACAATGAACTTTGTCAGACAGACAGATACAACGCAGAACTTCGTACGTAAGTACATCAGTTCAGATTGCCATACCACATCAGCACAGACACGTAACTGTCAGTTCAAATCCAAGAGTGATAGCGATAGTAGAATTATTAGCAGCAATGGAGAAAATTAGGTAGCAAAGATATGATTCGAAAAGTATAATTCAGTAAAATAAATTTAGAAGGAAAAAGATAGAGATTATGAGGAATTCAGAAGGTTAGAATTAGGGAGAACACAAAGAGTGGATGCACCTGCGCCATTGCAAACGATTTCGAGCCTTGTCGTTCAAGGTCTCTAACCATTGGTGACTTTCGTCTCGTGGACTTTGTCATGTCTCATCAATTCATTAAGCTGATGTTAATTAATGTTTGCATTTCTTTATTACTAGTAATGTAGGCGATAACTAGTGTTTCATCTGAATATATGTACGAATTGAGGGGATAGCTTGACATTACGACTGTATTATCAGTTTCTTTATATATACAAATATTTGAAATGCTCAGAGACTTTGAATGAAATAGTGCAATGGTCCAGGCATGTCCATTCTTTGTCTTCGCGTCTGAATTCCGAATGACCACATCTACTCTTTTTATATTTACTTTGCTGGATTAAACTTCTCAAATCATATCTTTAAACCCTAATCTTCTATTACCTCTACTACTATAGGATTTGGCTTGACAATTGCATCTCTCTGTGCTAATGTAGTATGGAAACTTGAATGTACATATGAAATTCTACGTTGTAGTTGACGGACTGACTGACTGACTGACTAATATATTTGAAATGTGGTTAAAAATAAAATCCAGGCTACATTTTTCTCTTTCCTTTTTTTATATACTCGTCCAGTGAATACCTGTTGAATACACACGAATGGCTAACCAGTTTAGTATAACAAGTAATGTACCTATGTGATGTGAAATGGTAGATACAGAGTTCAAGTAACCAGTAAGCGAATGGAAAGCATGTGTCTATAATGATGTACATCATATATTTCTTCGTCTGCTACATGTTGAATGTACTTAGTCAGATACTAAGAGCAAATCTACTTTTGGAAGCATTGTATATATATGCTAACGTGTTCCATCCAACTTGTCCCCAATCTTTTATAACCCTCATTATCAACTGCATAAATTTCATGAATATTTGAAAGACAATCATGAAATGGCTCTCAGGATCCTCTCCAATTTATTAACCTATTGTACCCGGTGTATCATCCAATATGACGGTATGACGATTGAATGTATAATATGTTGTTAGCCTAACTGTAGTGAACGAGAACACAGGTGAGGGCAACCGAATTGTATTTAACGAAAATTACAGAGTTACTCAGTAAAATCGGGAAACTATATCGTAAATTGTTCATTTGCAAAAGATCAGTTCATCCTATCGAACTGGACTGTTCCTGTTGTCAAACATCAATCCATTGTCACTATTCATGCGTTTCATACAAATTCCATTGTTTTCTAACTCTTCCTTTCTTGATCTTCCCCCATCTTCGGCTGCCAGACATTAAGTTAACGCTCAGGTCATATACTACTTATAAGTAGCTCGCACCACATAACTAGTTATTGAGCCAGTTACTAATATCGTGTTCGTCTAGACCTGATTACCTTTCAAAGGTTCATCGATCAAATTACAAGATGATGCAAAATGATCGTGACTTTTATTTGTTGATATTCTATGCTTCAAGGTCATTGACATTCAATCAGAACTCATCATTAATGAGTATCATTTATGTTTGCGGTAAGTTGAAATGATTAAATCACATCATTCAGTAAAAGATTGTAATCAATGAGTGATCCGATATGCGATTGGATATTTAAAATCCGCATTATTTTTGACAATTCTACTATCTGCATTACGGGGTTGTGAAGATTGTTAAGTTACACATTTTTGAAACCATGAATCCATCAATGTTAGACCACCATTAGAAACCTGGAAGCACTGAAAGACGGCCATTTCGTCCTGGTATGGGACTGTTCAGCAGAGCGCACCCACGACTCCTACTATCTTTTTCCAAATAATAACAATAATAATGGTGCTGGAAGAACTCTGAAGAAGTTGAACAGTCACTATCGAAAACACAGATCGAAAGAATTTCAAGGATACTGATGTGGCGGCATAAGGCGATTGGGTGATGACTTAACATCGCTAGTTGAGGACTGGATAATTTGAATGCTTTCACTCTATACCGAAAGCTAAAAATACACATGGTTTCTCAGTACATTTCGACGCTTACTCCTTCTACTTCCGTTTGGGCAACTAGGCGGTATATCACTAGCCCAAACATTTAGAGAGTGGTTCACATCCAAATCCTTTGAAAATAAGTTATGATAAAATTGACTTAATTTTCAACTTATCCTGCATAACATTGGGTAAACTAATTAACTTCCATTCTAATACATCAACCTTAAGCATCAATATTAAAAACTATTCAAAATACAATTACTTTCAGGAAATGGAAGCGATTTTGTAGGAAAATAAGTATCCCCTCCCGCTCAACCTCACCCATATACACCATCAACATCAAGAATAAATCAATAAATATCCCATAAGACAACTTACAAAATTCGATGTCCGCGTTGACTCTCGACGAAATTGTCTCGAGAAATGTTGCATAAGAAAAAATGCCAACAGAAAAAATCCAATTCCAAATATTGTATGCACCCATAGACTAGATGAATTAGCCGATATATTCGATATGGTTGTTACACCGAATTTTTGTAAGTCTGGAGCTAAAAATTTTTAAGTATTTTTACAAAAATGATTAACAAAAATTATATACAATACATTGGTACTGCTTATTTAATAATTGTAATAGAAATAACGATAGGACTAGAACCAAGGCATGACCCTGAACCGATGTAGATGAATCGATACTACTACCACAGGTTTGTCTAGTCATGGATCGAATAGCTCAATGATAACATCACGAACAGTGAAGCTTGGCGATACAAATCCAAATCCCACAAGCAGAATCAGTTACCCTAAGACTGTAGATAAACATTGCTGACAAGTCTCAACTGGCACGATAACTAGATAGAGTAGAATTTGTTTAGGAATACGTCTAATCATCTCTATTTAGACACGTCCGACAATAGTCGTGTTCCTTGACCTAAAAGCAGCATTTGACTCAGTGGATCGTGAGGTTCTGTGGCAGTGTCTGTCATTGAAAGGTGTACCTAAGAAGTACATTCACCTTATACAAGCTCTCCACTCGAACACTACTGGTCGAGTGAGAGCTTATGGCGAACTGTCACCGGAATTCTCTACATCAAGTGGTGTCCATCAGGGATGTCCACTTTCTCCATTCTTGTTTAATTTTATCATAGACATGCTCCTAGAGTTAACATTAAGCTCGTCAGATATCTCAGGGGTTGACCATCTACCAGGAAAGTCGCTCACTGATCTAGAATATGCCAATGACATAGTTCTATTCGGTGAAGACGCTGACAAAATGCAGAGTCTTCTGACTACCATAAGCAACAATGCAAGCATATTCGGAATGCGGTTCTCACCCTCGAAATGCAAAATGTTGCTTCAAGATTGGGTTACTTCGGCAACTGAATTAGTGATAGGGAGTGAAGTAGTCGAGCGTGTTGATCACTTCACTTATCTTGGGAGTCTCATCCGTGCTGATGGCTTGGTGACTGACGAAATCTCGGCGCGGATAAAGAAAGCTCGATTGGCTTTTGCCAAGTTACGTCACTTTTGGCGTAGGCGAGACATCCGTTCGCTAACCAAAGGACGGGTGTACTGCGCAGAGGTTCGCTCCGTTCTCTTATATGGCTGCGAAACATGGCCAGTGAGAGTAGAAGATATTCGTAGGTTACTAGTATTCGATCATAGATGTTTAAGAAGCATTGCTCGTGTATCGTGGGACAACCGAGTAAGCAATGCTGTCGTTAGGAAACGAGTTTTAGGTAAGGATGTCAGATCAATAGATGAAGTAGTGAAACTTCATCATTTGATGTGTTTAGGACATGTGTTACGCATGCTCAACCACCGACTGCCTCGACGAGCTATGTTTTGTGGTGTAGAAGTGGGTTGGAAGAAAGTTATGCGCGGCCAAACCAAAAACATGGCACAAATCCATGAAGTCACTGACAAGTGGACTGAGTCATGTTGGTAGATGTAGACTACCTGGTTGGGGTCCGCGAGATGGTAATAATCGATGGTTAGAGACCTTGAACGACATGGCTCAAAATCGTTTGCAATGGCGCAAGTGCATCCATTCTTTGAGCTCTCTCAAATCCTAATTTTCTGGATTCGTCAGCACCTCTACCTTTGTCTTTTTAACCTTATCTCACTGAATTATACTTCTTGAATAATATCTTCGAACCCTAGTCTTCTTCATTACCATTAATACCTCTACTATCTTTATCACTATGGGATTTGATTTGACATTTGCGTCTCTGTGCTAATGTGGTATGGCAACATGAACTTATGTACATAGGTACGAAGTTTTACGTTGCAACTGACTGACTGACTGTCAATCATCTCTAAGTCATAATTTGGAAGTAATGAGATAAAAAGATGACATCATTAAGATCAATAGTTTTGATATCAATTCAGCATAAACTTCGTTCAATACGAGAGATGAAAACTTTCGTTCAGTGTGACAATCAAATTACCTGTATCAGTTCACATGAATCGTATTTAATGTTAGTATTTTTACAGTAACTCTCTATACTCTCCCATACATAAATGATTGTATCTCTATCTAAAGACGATGTGATCTTGGGACATGCCTGGAGACATATCTCTGTAGAGCCAATAAATCTTCATTGAACCACAGTTTCCCTTTCCGTCATAGGAATCACAATGGTTTGCGTCTTCAAGTATAAGAAGCAGGATCGAGGAAGTGAATTGGTCAAGAATAAACAGTAAGACCACGAACTCAACAGAGTCGAGACGATGTACATAACACCAATGACACATGTGGACAATAGCAGAGAAGACATACCATATATTACACAATCGATCTAACATCATTCCGTACTCAACCAAGTGAGGCTAATCGCCGAAGCAATCCAGTTTCCCTTATTACATCATCATTGTTCATTCAATATGAACATTTTTTAAAAAACCTGTTGCACTACATTGTCAAATTCATAAAAAAGAATACTAATAAATGTAGATTTTTAAATGAGCTTATTTTGCTACCCTACCCTACCTCATTACCCTCAAAGAAATTATAAGTAATATATCTGATTAGTGCATTTTCTTTTCCATACAACTCAAACTAGTGGAGGAAATTTATTATTTTGTGATAATTATACAAACAGGAATAATAAATTGTACTGTATGCAATTTATATCGCATAATGGTTAGGCGTTCGCGCACAATACCGAAGGTCCCGAGTTCGAGTCCTGCGAGGTGCATGAGTCGTGGATGCGCACTGCTACTGATGAGTCCCATAGCAGGATGAAACGGCCGTCTTTCAGTGCTTTCAGGTTTCTAATGGTGGTCTAACAATGACTGATTGATGATTTCAAATGTGTAAAAACATAAACCTCTAAAACTCTGCCTGAAAAAATAATGTTTAGTTTGCATTCTGTCTCTCTCTCTCTCAGCGGCATACAATTGCTTCTACGTAAGGACACTGATTGATTAGGGTAAGCAGGCGGTTATTCAAAAAGAAACACACCATTAAACTAAAGTGATATTGATAATATAATCATCAGTAATCTCGTAAGTAGTAATGGTAGCAGCAGCAGTAGTATGGTGATATATATAGGCAATGAAACGATCATACAAAAACAGTTAACATGTGAAGAATTCAGCTCAATAATTAAAAAGGAAAATGACTAAATTACATAGAATCATGAAACTGGACTGATCACTTACACCAACACAATAAACAATCAATTATCACACATTTAATACAGAGCAATAAAGATAGTAAGTAGGTAAGTAAGTAGAAGACAGAAAGATTTGAACAAGCACAGATAGAGAGCGTGTTGTTGATTATTTTAGAAATCAGTAGTGCAACGAGAGAGAAATCAAACTGAAAACGATTGAACAATTGAACAAAGATGGGAATTCGAAATTTTCCATGTCCATAGAGAGATTAAGTCAGCCAATTGTCAAACTAATAGACTGATGAAACTACTAAAACAGAGATGAAGTAATTTCAACAACAACTTGCAAGCATACTACTACTTACTGCTGACAGTCTTCATAGCAAGACGAAAAAATTGTGTCCAGCATTCAAACTGATAGAGGTTAGTAAGTAAAACAAAATAGCAGTGATCCGATGCAGATGTGAGGGCGCGGATTGGCAAAGCGAGGGCTGCATTTCTATAGTTGAAAAATATCTGGAACTCCAAACAACTTTCAACCAAAACCAAAATCAGGATTTTCAATACAAATGTCAAGACAGTTCTACTGTATGGAACGGAAACCTGGAGAACTACGAAAGACATCATCCAGAAGATACAAGTGTTTATTAACAGTTGTCTTCGCAAAATACTTCGTATTCGTTGGCCAGACACCATCAGAAACAACCTACTGTGGGAGAGAACAAACCAGATTCCAGTGGAGGAGGAAATCAGGAAGAAGAGGTGGAAGTGGATAGGACACATACTAGGAAAAGCACATGACTGCATCACAAGATAAGCCCTCACATGGAACCCTCAAACTGAAATGGAGAGAGGAAGGCCGAATAACACATTACGCCGAGAAATAGAGAAAGATATGAGAGGAATGAACAAACATTGGACAGAACTGGAGAGGGAAGCCCAGGACAGAGTTGGTTAGAGAAAACTGGTGGGCGGCCTATGCTCCATTGGGGGTAACAGGCGTAAGTAAGTAAGTAAGTAAAAAGATAAAAGCCACTGAATACAAACTACACAACTACTTACATTTCAATGTACCATGTATATTGACTGGTAGTATAACCACTAAACACAATACTGTAGTGATTGCTGTGTAAATAATTAAATATGCATGAAATCGAAGATATTGTACAGCATCACTGCCTGCTTTCAATTGTAAATCAGCTGATCTGCATGTAAAAGATTCGTACCAAAAAAAAAATCAATACAAAGTTCATATTATATATTATGCGAGAATATTGTTGGCAAATCTATTTTAAAACAAACAACAGTAGATTGGTAATGTGTTTTAAATCAACGATTCATTTTGTAGATGACATTGACAAAAAAAAATCTTGTGGAAAATACCGATATATCACAAAGAATTGACTATAGTTGAACGAGTCAGTGGATAACAACAAGTTCATGAGTTAAACTCCATGCGTTTTCTCAATGGATGTCAGAAATTGATGTCATTTTGTAAATCTCTCTCCGTTGACATGTCATTTTATACAAGCAACGCGTAACACATCGAATGTTTTCATTTTACAAAGAAAAACATATATGAATGCTGAGATCGATTTGACTTTTGAGAAAAAAGGGGTTAAATTAACGATTGACCTATCTCTCTCTCTCTCTCACTCTCTTATCGCAGAATAACTGAGTGAACAATGTTGACATGAAGCAAAGATGCGATATTGATTCACCGACTGAACATGCATCACGTATATTTAACCAGTGCCTATTTCTATCGGTAATGTTAGATGGGGTGGAAGTATAAACTGGGAGGAGACAGACAGACAGATACAACACAGAACTTCGTACGTAAGTACATCAGTTCAGGTTGTTATGCCCCATCAGCACAGAGACGCAACTTTCAGTTCAAATCCAACAGTGATAGCAATAATAGAATTATTAGCAGTGATGGAGAAGACTAGGGAGCGAAGAGTTGATTCAAGAAGTATAATTCAGTAAGATAAATTTAGAAGGAGAGAGACATTATGGGGAATGCAGAAGGTTAGAATTTCATAGTACACGAAGAGTGGATGCACCTGGGCCACTGCAAACGATTCTGAGCCATGTCGTCCAACATCTCTAACCATTGGTGACTTTCATCTCGCGGACACCAACCAGGTAGCCTACATCTACCAACATGACTCAGTCCACTTGTCAGTGACTTCATGGATTTCTGCCATGTTTTGGTTTGGCCGCCCCTAACTTTCTTCCAATCTACTCCTACACCACAAAACATAGCTCGTCGAGGCAGTCGGTGGTTAGGCATACGTAACACATGTCCCAACCACCTCAACTGATGAGGCTTCGCAACTTCATCTATTGATTTGCCATCCCTATCTAGCACCCGCTTCCTAACGACAGCATTGTTTACTCAGTTGTTCCAGGATACACGAGCAATGCTTCGGAGACACCGATGATCGAAGACTAGTAACCTACGAAAGTCCTCTACTCTTAAAGGCCATGTTTAGTAGGACGGAGCAAACTACTGCACAGTAAACTCGTCCTTTGGTTAACAAACGGATATCTCGCCTGCGCCATAAGTGACGCAGGTCGACAAACGCCAATTGAGCCTTCTGTATCCGTGCTGAGAGGAGGCAAATTAACCACAACTAAAAAAAACGAATTCAGTTCATAAAGTCGTTCATTGCTGGTGGATGTGATCTTGTCAGTAGATACAGATTGTCTAGTTACAGTTTGCGCAACAACCGCCGAGATCGATGATACGTCGATGATCACGTTGGGTGGTGATATGACCGAGAACAAGTCATAATCAAGTCACATTTATTTACATATTTAGTTACATTATTCATTCCAGTCATACATACACTCTCGGTATATATTTTTCAATTCCTTATTCTCAATGTCTAAATCATTATTCACATTCTCATTAGCTATTTATTACACTGGCCTTATAGATTCCTTTTGTTGTTCGTTGTATTCATTTCATCTCATCGGATTAATGTGACATAAGAAACTGAGTTAAACAAATATAAGAAAAATAATAGTCTGAGTAATTATTTATTCTTACGAAAAAGATATTCTATGTTAACCTTTCATCTGAAATATTGTGTTAATCTCATATTTCGTATTGTATGTTCACTTGATGATAATTAACATTATTTTTTATCATTTACTTTCTTGTTAATTTAATTTTGTTTTATTTGACAGTGAAATTTCAATTATTCTTGCATATATATGATATGTATGTATGTATATGAAATATGGAATGCACCTGCTACTACTCTACAGCATAATAAGCGATAACAAAACGGTACCAAAAGGTTCCTCAACATTCTATATCAACCGCTATTGTTTCAAAGTACCACACACAGAGGTTCACACACACATACACACACACGCCCTATTCAACAGTGTACACAAGAAGAAATAAATAGGTATAATTATGAATAAGTTGGCTCATATTTCATATAATCACATACAATAAAATATGGCCACCCCGGACACATTGGCTGACCATTTGGACAATGGAATCTGTTTCACTTTTTGAACGCACAGTTACGACAAATACGCAACTATTTACGCATTAGTCAATTTGAAAAATTGAATATGCTAATATTAAGTAAGAATTTAGATAAACTATGAGCTTTGATCATCGGTAAACAGTAACACGTCAATATGTTTCATTTACTAGCTCTCAACTAACTTGAAAAATCTTTTTGAAAAGATGAATTGAATAGACAACTATAGTTTTATAATTAATTAGTAAGCTTACAATATTTCTGAGGTGTAATAAAATGAAAAGCTAACTAGACGGCGAAATAAAAGTAAAAATGAAGGTTAGTTCACATGAAAGAAATGTATTGATGAAATAAAAAAAAACAGAAATTTAAACAACAATTTACAAACGGTAGTGTTTTCACAAACAGATCTTCATTAGACTCTAATGGCACAGTGATGCCTATAAGCACATATTTAAAATACATATATGTGAAAGCAACCTAGGCAGTTGATAATTAGTTTTTGAAAGCATGAATCGATTAATGTAAGACCAGCATTAGAAACCTGGAAGCATTGGACAGCTGTTTCGTCCTGGTATGGGATTCATCAGCAGCGTGCACCTACGACTCCTGCAACTAGCAGGATTAGACTCAGGATCTCCGGGTCTTGCACGCACTGTATTAAAGTTAACATACTTCTTTAAACAGTCAGAGAAGAATCAATCATTTAGGGACTGACTCAACATCCATGAACAGATGAAAACGAGACAGCCTTGTTATAAATTGTTATGTTCGTCACTAGGTACGCTTGAAGCTATTACGAGTTCACCTTAGTCGATAAACGCGAACGAGACAATTACCAGCGTCCAGATAGGCTACCTTGAATCCCAAGCTGAAGATAGAAGACTTTGTAAGTGTAGAAAGTATATTCTACAAACACCCAGCAATCACAATACTATCAAGCACACGACTCTCGTTTATTTATACAACATAGAAACGTCTTTGGGACAGTTATGAAAATAGCACACTAAAATACACAGCAGCCAATCACAGCCATGGATGGACTTTCCTGGTGGGAAATGAAATCTCAAGGTCAACTGATCAGCCCATGCTGGCAAACGTAAAATCCAAAACTGAGGCATTTATCAAGTAAGTTCTGGGGATCTAACATCTCCAACATGGACATGTACATATCCATATAAATAAGTACATTGAGTAACTTACGTTAACTTGAAATAATTAACAATCCATGATAAATAACCCTAAAAGAAAGAAAAAAAGGTAGTGAGGAAAACGATTCGGAGAATAAAAATTTACATTACGGGGTTGTGAAGATTGTTAAGTTACACATTTTTGAAACCGTGAACCGATCAATGTTAGACCACCATTAGAAACCTGGAAGCACTGGATGGCCGTTAGACATTAACACCGTTAGATACCGGCTCAGTGGTCTATTGGTTAGTGCGTTCTCGCACAATACCGAAGGTCCTGGGTTCGAATCCTGCGGGGTGCAGGAGTCGTGGATGCGCACTGCCACTGAGGAGTCCCATACCAGAACCACGAAACGGCCGTCTTCCAGTGCTTCCAGGTTTCTTCTAATGGTGGTGATCTAACAATGATCGGTTCATGGTTTCAAAGCATAAAAATTTAGAAAAGAACAGCTTACATGATCATTAGTAGATGGATTTTGTTCTCCACCACTATCTGTGGAAGCATTATCACCAACAGAATAAGCATCATTTAATTCTGAAAATATAGTCCACCTGAAGAATGGGGAAAAAGAAAAAAAGAAAAAATGATCTTCTACTATGTATGTATGTATGTATGTATGCACTGAATGAAGAAACATGCATGACCTAATTGAAATTTGAAAGCATACTGCTATGCAATGCAATGCAATGCAGTGTACTTTTACGTCGAGACCACATAGTTCGGTGTCAAGCCTTCTACCCGAATTATTATTATTCACTAGCTTTTTGATCTTGTCAATCATTCGTCACTCATATCTTGACTATTTTTTGATTCAGTGTGTGTGTGTGTGTGTGCCTATCACTTCGCTTATTGCATGACTGGCCTATTTTTGTCTGAATATAAGTCTTGAGTCATGTCTCATTACAGTGAGTTGGTACGCTGGCCTTCTCCACTTCGCTTCGCTCTGATTGTATGCTTTTCATTCTCGTCTACCTGCTTAAATGAATACATGAATGATTGTTTGAAACAAACTCACCCAACCGAATCCGTATTTGGCTTTTAATTACCGCCGTCGCGCAAACGAGTTCCTTATATGTATGATATATACGCAGACTGAAGGGAAGATTAATTTCATAATCACATATTCCACTAGTTATAAATTATGAAGTCATATCACTGGCCCGACGAAGAACATAACGCAGCCTACAATACATCATGTAAGCTATAGGTTTTGATAATCAATATATTCAAACTAACAGTCATATTTTGTTGGACAACTTAGTCAGCCAAGTCGACATGGTCGGGCATTATAGCGCAATATGTAAATATGGAAAATTAAAATTGATGAAACTGTTCATCTTTACCTATTGAAGTGGCTAGGATATGTATCACGAATGTCTTATTAATCACTGGCTATCTCAATTGATGATGTTAGATGGTGTAGAAGTAAACAGAAAGAAACTGAATAGTGACTTGATCAGAAACAAAAAATTCAGTTTATGAGATCATTCACTGTTGGACTCAATCACACACATTAACTAGTTAAAATTTGCAAGCTGCCGTAGTGTGAGCAACATTTACATGGCTACCTAATTGTTTTTCTATTTGTTCTTGAAATATACTCGTAGCTATTTTATCAGTTCTTTATGTTGACAAGGTGGGGTCAAATAAATCACTGTACTGGGATCCTGTATGCGCGTTTCGGAGACGTAGAATACATATCAATGGCGCGAGATTCTAAAGTCCTGGCTATGGAAGCCTGTTGTTATATTAGCCACAAGGTTCGAACATTAAAAGCGACAACATGTGTTATAGAGTGGTGTTTCAAGACACCAGGAATAACATTGCGTTTATTCGAATCATTAGCACTAGCAATGCAAAGTGATAAACATATGCAAGGAAGGTTGTTTGTGGAGATAAAAGAGTAACTAAGAGGTGAATCAAGGATTATATTATAAGCAATATGACCTGTTGTGTTGTTAGGGGTATGAGTGAGGTTTTCACTTGCTAAATGTTCACACCGTAAAAGGATATCTCTCATTGAGAGGAACGAAGGAAAGCCGGGTTATTGGTGATCTCAGTAATGTGGGAACAAGATTGCAGATCTCAAAGAATAACTGCTTGGGAAAGCACAGACTTTTTACGGCGATTTTCGATATGTTGGTTTCGCACTTCATAGGACCTTATCGCCAGAGATGAAAATCAATGGGGTAAGGCGTTGTGTGACATTTTCAAGATCAAACTTTTATAACTCTGTTCCTTTAGTCTTTAGAACGCAGCACTGCTGCTATCACACTCCTCCATAGTCAGCATTATAACTTCACCCCCAGACCTTAGGTTGCTGTTTTTAGTCTTATCGTTCTCCAATCAACCTGTCTGGTATGATAAGACCTAAAGGAATATGTGTTCCAACCAATATAGCTCGATCGGATCATCACAATAAGCATTCCCGACCATCACGTTATAGTTGATACTACGGTCGGGAAGCGCTGTACATAATTCACGCAAGTTAAGGTAAAAAATATTTGTAAACAAAAGAATACTTATTATGATTCGATGTCATTTAAAAGCGTCAGTTCTACTGTATGGAGCGGAAACCTGGAGAACTACGAAAGTCATCACCCAGAAGATACAAGTGTTTATTAACAGTTGTCTACGCAAAATACTTCGTATTCGTTGGCCAGACACCATTAGCAACAACGTACTGTGGGAGAGAACAAACCAGATTCCAGTGGAGGAGGAAATCAGGAAGAAGCGGTGGAAGTGGATAGGACACACACTACGAAAAGCACCTAACTGCATCACAAGACAAGCCCTCAATTGGAACCCTCAAGGCAAAAGGAAAAGAGGAAGACCAAAGGACACACTACGTCGAGAAATAGAGAAAGATATGAGAGGAATGAACAAACATTGGACAGAACTGGGAAGGGAAGCCCAGGACAGAGTTGGTTGGAGAAAACTGGTCGGCAGCCTATGCTCCATTGGAGGTAACAGGCGTAAGTAAGTAAGTAAGTAATGTAACCGTACACAGATCTCAACTATAAAAGAAGTAACACATTTTACTAGTTGTAATAAATAAGAAAATAAAAACCATGTATTGAACAAACCTATTTTTCCTCGGTTGAAAAATAGCCATACGCCCATAGTCCCATGCAAGTTTCCTTAACAATGTAAATCCGGACATAAGAACCTAGACATGTGGTGAACAAAACTTTCAATGAAGTGTGACATACCACCCAACCAACAACGTTTAATAATAAATTGTACGGTATTCCTTCATAACCGGGTATAACCCTGCTTTTATTAGCATATGTATTAACGCGATCACAAATAGGTGCAGATGACATCTTTGTAATTTGATCTAGAAATAGGTTTTAAGAGCAAAAGTGAAAAAAATAATAATTTATCCCTGTAATAGATCTAGAGAATGCAATCAAATGAGAAAAATTATGAAAACCATACGATCAGATCATTTGAAATATTATACTACACCTAAATACACTAAACAGTTCTGACAAACGTCTTCTTAAAATTGAACTAAGTAGGTGATGAGTCATGCACAATACTGTAAGATATAAAAATCAAGTAACTGGAATGAATGAGTGTCGCAAACTGACCATCCCTTCATTCTGTTTTAAACAAGTTCCAATATCGGTAAAAGAATGCATGATATGGAAGCCATTGGGATGACATTTTATTCAAACCATCGAACTTGATATTTTAAGACGATGACACCAAGTGAGTTATCGTTAAAGTGCCAGAAACACATATTGCCAAACCTTCACATAACGAACATGGTGTTACTGCTGAATGTCAATACCGGATAGAATGATGATCGAAAAGGTTGGCTCCAGGATCCTGAAGGAGCAAATGGCCTATGAAGCTATCACCAGCTACCACGGGTCTACATCACCTGGCGTCGCTCTGTTATGTTGTGGATTAAGACTGTGGATCCAAGGCTCAAGGATTATCTCCTTAAGAAAAACATCAGCTTCGGTTCGGGCACCAGAGGAGCATACCAGCCCTCGAGAAAATTGAACAACCTGGAAAACTTATGCTCGCTTCACATCACATTCTCACAAATTACGCTCACGATTGTTTGGCACCATTTGTTTTTACTATACACTGAGTTACTTCTAAGTTACTTTGGAGTGCCAGGTTAAGAGATGTTTTTCCCTATGCATAAAGTTTGTTTGCTAGGAATAAGCGCTTATCTGAGCACAGCTGCAGCAGACGGTCGCCGTTTTCTGTTCTTTGAGCCACGACATCATAACATCCACCAAAGTGTCTTTCATTTTCACTCAGTCTACCTACATGAGCATTAAAGTCACCAGCCATTATTACAACATCAGAGCGCCTAACTTTTTGCAGGAACTCTGAAAGCTTTCTGTAAAACTCATCTTTTATCTCGTCTGAACTGCAGTCAGTGAGAGCGTAGTCAGAGACAACAAAGAGGCAACGGCGTGTCCCTATCTCTCCGAGTCCTTACTGTCCCGTTCAGTCTGACAGCGCACAAGTGACTATCTACTGGGATCCAGTCTAGGAGCGCTAGTTATACTCTAGAAATGCATGTTATACTTACAGCAGCAGCAGGGCTTCCAGATACACGAAGAGTAAATCGAAGTGCTTCTTTATTTTGACAAGGTGAAATCAAACTGATGACTTTACTTGGATCCTGTAAGCGCGTTTCCGAGACGCAGCACACATCGATAGCGCGAAATTCTAAAGTCCTAGCTAAGGAAGCCTGTTGTCCTGTTCGATACGATGTCCGGACATTAACAGCTCCAGCACGTAATTCAGAACGGAGTTTCATGAGGCCAGGAATAACGTTTCGTGAACTCACATCGTTTGCATTGGCGGTGCGGGTTGATAAAGAAATCTGAGAAGAGTTAGTCGTGGAGATAAGAGGGATATTAGGGGGTGTAGGAAGGATTTGAATTTGACTAATTTGGTCTCGCGTGCTGTTACGGGTATGAGGGGGGATGTCACTTCCCGGACGCCCACACCGTGGAAGGGTGTTTCTTGAGGAACTTGAAAAGGAAGGTCAGTCAGTCGGTCAACAACAGCATAGAACTTCGTACGTACGTACATCAGTTCAAGTTGCCAGACCACATTGTCAGTTCAAATCTCATAGTAGTAGAAGTATTAGCAGTACTGAAGGGGATATTAGGGTTCGAAGATATGATTCGAGAGATAAAATCCAATGAAATAAATTTAAGGAAAAAAGATAAAGGTGATGAGGAATGCATAAGAGTAGGACTTTGAAGGAGACAAAAAATGGATGCACCTTCCACATTGCAAACGATTTTGAGCCGTCATTCGAAATCGCTAATCATCGATTACTATCATTTCATCAACCCCAACCACGTAGTATACACCTACTAACATGACAGTCCACTTGTCAGTGACTTGAGGGACTTGGTTTGGAAGCCCCTAGCTTTCTTCCGGCCTACAACTACACCACAAAACATTGCTTGTCGAGGAAGTCATTTGCTGGGCATACGTAAAACATGTCCCAACCACCACAGCAGATAAATATTAATCACCTCATCAATCGATTTCCTGTCCTTCCCTAATTCCGTCGCGTAGGCTTTTCATCAGCCTGTGCTTCATCCCTTATCTTGTTCAGAGCTAGGGGCAAATAGTTTCCACACATCTATAATTTCAGTGAATGCTAATAAAATCCACTGCTTCTCCTTAACCATTTGGTTTACCTTTCCAAGATGCCTAACTGTTTCTTAGTTGTTCTTGAAATATATTCTTGGCATTTTCATCGTTAGGTAGATCTTTGATTAGTTTCCTGTCTTTTTTGCGTCCAGACGGCTGCAGACAAATACGTGCTCGCACTAGA